ACTGGGTTTGTTGGTGCATTACAAGTACGTTTGACTACTTTTAAGATCTTATTGTACTTTGAGGTTCGTTTTTGAAGAAAAGTACATCATGAAATGAAATTGCCTTCTGATACTTATTTGATATGATTTTATCATAGAGCAAATTGCTTCAATCGTTTTTTTTTGGGGTGGGGGGGGGGGAGGCTGAAGCCAATGGTAAGGTTAACTGTACAGAATAAAAGTTTAATTTGCCTGCAGAAATTCCTACCTTGTGGAGTCTGCATTACAGATTGGTGTAATTGTTTTATCCTTAAGAGTGCAGCACAGCAAACATATTCACTCACTATTTGCTTTGGCGACTAAGCAGGGAAACTTGAATTTCGTGTCCTGATTCTCAGATTTGTTCCCCACCTCATTTTAAGTGGTCTCACTTACCACAGTGTTTACTTCAGTCTTCATAGCTGTTTCTCTTCAGGCCAATTCCAACAGAGCCACAGTTTTTGGTTACAATGACACTGATCACCAGAGACGTCAACCAAAGAGTCCAAAAGTTTGTAAACGTCTCTGCCTCAGTTTGTTGTTTGGCTGAACAAAATGGTCAACTTTTTTTTTTTAGCTTGTAAACAGGTTCTTTATCGATTGTTAATAGTTACAGTTGCTATATATATATATATATTAAAAAAAGTGTGACCTGTTTTTCTGTATCTTAAAAAAATTGCTGAATGTTAGCTCTGGGATTTCATGTTGTTTGTTTCAAATATATTTCACATAGAAAACTTTTAAACCGCTATAGCCTATTTTGGATGTATCATTTACAGAGTGGACTACAGTTGCTCGGAGTATAAAGGGAATGTCAGAAATTAACTCGTGCTTTTTGAACGCTCTATCATTTTGCATTGAAGGCTCAAGACAGTGACCGTTTCAAGCAAGGTGGCATTGTGAGAAAATACCTTCTTGACAGTGTGCGTTAGATCAGAAACATCCAACCTACAGCATACGCTGTTCCTTTTTCTCCCCCCCCTCTTTTGCCGAAATAAAAAGATGTCCCACCAGAAAAAGATGACCTTTGTGCTGTCTTGCATCAACATGGCCCAGAACGTGCCGTCATTGGAATCAGAGAGGGGCTACATTGGTGACATTCAGACCAAACCTCCCCTCCCTCCAAGCCTCTAGTTTGTCCCCTTACTGTTCACAAATTTCTGTCCTAACTGTTTAAAAGGCTCCAGAAGGCGGCTGAACTACAATGAAAGTGCTCCCAAGTTTTACGTTCAGTTGAATGTTGAACAGGCTTGTGGGTGACCACAGCAGTACTAAATCAGCAAAGCAGTACGTTGCCAGTCAATTCTCTTGTGGGCTGTTTTTCGCAAACTTTACAGTGCATCATAAAGATTGGGCCCCTGCACTCGTCTCAAGTCAATAAACCAGCTCACAGAATCGCCTTTATGACTCCACTTAACTCGTGGAAGTGCAACTGCTTTAGTCGGGCAACATTTTGTGTTTCACCCGCATTTTGAGGGATTTCCGAAATTATTTTTCCGCAGTCAAAACAAATTGGCGATGTACGTTTTCCGTAGCTCACGTGTATGCTGTTGGTTGTGTTTCTAACCTAAAGTTAAGGGTGGAAACTACTAGTTTTTAAAAATGTACATCATCAAAGCCACCATTCCCAATATACAGCCAATTCACTTTACAATATATTCTGTGAAGCGTCTCGAAGGCGCTATATCAAATGCAAGGATTATTATTATTGGTGTGATATTGATTTGGAGACCGGTGTATTTTCGCGGGATTTATGCAAAGGGACACTCTTGCAGTGCTATTTTCCTTTCAAAACAATCCTTTTTTTTTTGTCCTGTGTGAAGGAAATTCCGTCCCAAAGCCATTTTGAATTTTTGTAAAGCGTTAACACATCCTGCTCGCTTGAACCCGGGATTCGAAAAGCGTTGGCGGTTTCGCAAAGAAATGAGGGAAACTGCAAAAAAAAAAACATTACGTGACTGTTTAAAATTGGAACCTTTTCCAGGATTTATTTCTCTTTGAAAGTCTTTGTGATTAAAAACGCCTGACAATATCAGTGAAGCAAAAATGAGCGAAATACACTCTAGTCAGACTGACATGCCTGCAAAAGTCAATTAGAAAAAAACACTCAATATAGCTCCGTGTGTGTGCGTGTAAAAAAAAAGGGAAAGGGATCAAATCTTTTTGACTGGTCAAAAAGAATTTATGATTTACATTAACGGTGATGAGAGAGGTATTATGCTTTTTATTTTAAATACCTGTATGGTAGCCAATAAAATGTTCGGATTGTAGGTTGCATTTATAAAAGAGCAACTTGTCGCAAGTCACTTTGCTGCACCATTAACCAATCCTCCAGCTTTGTTGCCAACATGGCACATTCAGACCCCGTACCTTTCGACCCACAATCTGTTTTCTCCCACGTTTGCCGTCCCCCTGAGAGAAAGGCATTTAAAGCAAGAGGTTGGCTCTTTGCATAAAACCTTCTTTGTGCTTATTTTCCCTCTTTGTAAAGAAAGAACTTTAGCAAGCTTTGAAATCTTTCCGCTGTGCTGTCTGTCTGCTCCCCGTGTCTCTCTCTGTGTGACTCTGAAATGCTTGATAATATGCTGTGGATGAAAGGTTGCAAATAAATGTCTCGAATCTGCAGTTCACGATGGACTGAGTCAGTTGTGTTTTATTTATAACCAATTGATCTAAGAACAATTCAATACAATGGTCATTATTGGGTTTGTTTCCCATCTATCATAAGTAGAATTCTATCACTACCTATTCATTCTGCAATATAAGTAATAAATCACATTCATTAATTATTATGGTCACTCGCTCAGAAATGCCGTCTTTCCTCTACCAGAAACTCCAGTGATTCAAAGAGCCTAAATTCTTCCCTGAATGTTAAAAGATAATTGTGTGATGACCACAATTCGTTGAGCTGGGGGTTGGAACACTCAGAACCATGGAATCAAAAGACCTCGGGTCACATAACACAGGAGATATGGAGAAAGTTGGCATTTTGTTTCATTAGATAGATCTCGGCCTTCTGGAACGCCTATTGTTTCAAATATTATTCTTAGCAAGTTTCATTTTTTTTAATCACATAAGGAACTGTCGAGTCTGCCAGTTGCAGTGATCAGATCCAGTCTGAAAACTTGCATGAAAATCGTCAGGGTTTTATTACAAAAGTCACATTTTGACACAGGGCCTGGGTGACACTCCAAACCAGCAGAAAGTAGCTCCAGTACAATATTTCGAACCGTTCCCTAAAGAAAAAGCACAGCAACAGACGTGCACTCTCAGCACGGTGACATACATTGACGGAGCTTACAAGCAACAGTCAGTCTTGAGTTGTGTTGTTCATATGGAAACTTCACACAAGAATCAGCACAGTGAGATACCTGAAATAAGCACCACCTTTCCACCCGGCTTCAGAAAGTCTCTCAACCCAACAACAACAAACTACAAACTACATTTGTATAAACGTCTTTCACGTCAGGAGGACGTTCCAAAGTGCTGGACAGTCAGGGACCTACACGCCAGCTGGTGCTTGGGATCAGGAGGAGTGGAGGGGGTGTGGGAGGGAAGTGGTAGGAAGGTGACCAAAGGTTTGGTCAAAGAGGAGGGTCTTGGGACGGGTCTTGATGTGAACACAAGTTCACATCTGATTATTGCATATGTTATTGGGGCTCAGGGATCATTGAAGTACAAGGAAACACCTAACTCGGAGAAGTAGTGGCCACTTATTGTCTTTCCCAAGCCGGTTTACCATGCACAGATATTTTTCTCTCAATAGTTTAAGAGTGGATGGATAGATTAACTATATGAAATGTGTCTGTAGCGGCAGGTTCACAACAGATGTAGAAATCTGTCCGCCACATGTGTAAAATTGGGCTAGGTCTGGCGTGAACGGAAGAGTGGGCGAGATAGACGAGAACAGCAGGAAAAAAAAAAGAGACATTCGGGATCTTAGCCCACAACTATGTCTCCTGTGAGGAAGGGTTGGAGAAGCTCTGGTCTGAATAACATCAGGCGTAAAGTTCACAATCCTTTTTTCAAAAAAATATGCAATTACACAGACAAAAAAAGTCAAGAATTTCCTGCTTGAATCCGCAAAGATTAATAATAATAATAATCCTTGCATTTGATATAGCGCTTTGCACGTCGGGAGGACGTCCCAAAGCGCTTCACAGAACACACTGTAAAGTGAATTGACTGTATATTTGTGGGCGAACGCGGCAGCCAATTGCGCACAGCAATGTCCCACAAACAGTCGTAGATTGAAAATGACCAATTTATTATTGTTTTGGGTTTTGGAGGGATTATTATTAGGCTCTGTGTGGAGTAAGGAAACTTGCCCAAGGTTTCGCCCTCTGCCTGGAATTGAACTCAGGTCTCTCGCTTGCAAAGCGAGTGCTCTAACCACTGAGCTACAGGACTCCAAACTGCCACGCGAGGAATTTCCCTCTTCCCTCCTGATTTTTTTTTTGGGTCGGCTGGGTGTCTGACACATGCAGTAGCCCGTCACCGTGCCCCAGAGAACCCGAACCAAACAGAGAATTCCATGCATCCCACTTTACGTGTGGAAATCCCAGAGATAGATTATTGGAATGGAATGTGCACTCTCTCTCTCTCCCTGGAAGGACCCATTCCTGCTTACCCACTTCCAGAAGTATTAAGCACAGTTTTCATAGGAAACTCATTCCCATGAAAAATTATGTTGTGCAATAAGTTAGTAAGGAATCTTGCAGGTCTGCTTCCCGGCTTTAATAGCCATATTGCTGCTTTATTTGAACTGTGACAAAACTATACATTGCTATAAATCTATGAAATGATAAGCTAAAAACAGTAATGGTGTGAATAATTATAATGGTATTTGCATTTGACTTAACGCCTTGTCACTCATTGAGATGTCTCAAAGCGCTTCACGGGATTTACCGTAAAGTGTAGTGACTGTGTATTTGTAGGCAGACGCAGCAGCCAAATTTACGCACAGCAGTGTCCCACAAACAGCCATGAAATGAAGGACCAATTTTATCTGGAGCACTGTCAGCCGGGACACATGTCTATCAAAGGGAAGAAAACAAAAGCTTGTTTTTTGGCCGTTAAGAATATATTCAAAAAACGTGGCTCTTGAAGAATGTTTTGTTGATAAACAGCAAAATTATTTACTGAAGAGGAATGAGCCAAAAGCTTCTCTCCCACTCATAGCAGAACATTATCAGTGGTCCAAAGGCTCTCCCTTGCACATTGTATCCAAGGTCACGGTATATCAGCAAACAAGTTGTAATAATCCATAAAACACACACCAGCAATTTGTTTGACAACCTGCAGCTCAATTTTGAACACTTTTGATATTCAAAATTCTGTATTTTTGCAAAAAATAATCCATTCGTTATATTCCTCTATGTATGCAGAACCTGAACCGATTGATTCAAACACCCCCACCTTCTCTGTCTCTCTCATTTACACAAAAACACAGATCTGGTCATTTGCATTTTCACTCCACTATTTCTACTGCCTGAAAAAAAAACCACCCAATTTATTCTCGACGTAACAGAGTGTTACGATATTTGAAAAGAAAGCTATATTCCTGAAGAGCAAACTAAAGTTTTGCATTTAAGTGGGGCATTTATTCATTCGCAGACTTTCAAACGCGTCGGTTCTGCCTGAAATGCAAACAAGCAGAAACAGTGGAATATTCATAACTTTCCGTAACTGCGTCCCCGTAAAGAAAACAGAGTGACGGTAATGCCTGCGGTTACATGAAAGCATGGAGTCACATTTCATTCATATGCAAGCGCCAACTGACGAAACATTGGCGTCTTTGAGCTTTTGTTCCTAACAGTGACTTCTATAAACAGTTTTTTTTTTTTTTTCCGTGAAATCACAGAAACCAGCAACTACAGAGGCTTTGGATGATACTTCAAACCGTAACTGGGTCATCAAGCTTTGAAGTCTTTCGCGAAAAATGATTTCCTATTCTGTTGTGATGCTCCCCAGCCTTGCATAACCTACAAAAACAATAAACAGTGCAAACAGTTGTTACTATCCAGCTCCAGACTCCCAACACTTCACGTTAACCCTGTTGCAGTTAGCAGTCTGCGCGGCTATTTAAACGAGTTATACGCATACGGTATTAATGGCTCTCGGCTGTCTTTTCGCATATTCAATTGAAATAGTCGTCTAAAACAATACTCATCTGAATACTCAAACAAAACCAGCATACTCAATTGTGCATGTTTTTTGAGTCGCGATACAATGATGTAGATTTGTACATTAAAATGCATTCCCACACTCTGTTTTCCATGTATTTAAAAAGATATTTCCTTGCACCTCATGGTGTCTCTACTCTCGTTGAACGTAAATGTGTGTCAGTTAATTACTAGCAATGTTTTCGACTGCCGTTGCTCAGTACAGATCTAGGTTCAATGATGCTGCGTGAGGTGGGTGGGGCGGCAGGAAGCTTTACGGAACGGTTTTGCTGATTTGAGAGTAGATCAAAAGTGGTTAGTTCACACACCACCAAAACATATTTAACTTTGCGCTTTTAGCAATGGAAAAAAAATGTCTCGGAAAGAACTGCTAAACAGCCCGAGCCATCTGTTTCGCCTCCCAAGTTGCACTCAGTTCTGTTTTTATTTTAATGTTACATAGCTGATGAAGATTGGGACAACAGCTGTTGGAAAGCACTTTGTGAACACCCGCTCATATATCCAGAGCATGGAAGCCATCTTCATTGACGTGCAGAGAGATAACGTGGAGTCCTGTAGCTCAGTGGTTAGAGCACTCGCTTTGCAAGCGAGAGACCTGAGTTCAATTCCAGGCAGAGGGCGAAACCTTGGGCAAGTTTCCTTACTCCACACAGAGCCTAATAATAATCCCTCCAAAACCAAAAACAATAATAAATTGGTCATTTTCTATCTACGACTGTTTGTGGGACATTGCTGTGCGCAATTGGCTGCCGCGTTCGCCCACAAATATACAGTCAATTCACTTTACAGTGTGTTCTGTGAAGCGCTTTGGGACGTCCTCCCGACGTGAAAAGCGCTATATCAAATGCAAGGATTATTATTATTATAAGCAGCTGCTGCTAAAACTCCATGCTTCCAAATGACTGAGCCAGCGCTCAATGGGTAGGGTTGCGCTTGTGTATCCAAGCTCCAGGTAGGAGGATGGTGGCAATGCTCTCCCGCTTTACATGCTGATCATCAGTACTCTCGTGGGGAGCTCCTAGTGCTATCCACCTAGTTTGGAAGTTATTGGAAGTTGTTATCGAAGGGTGGTGGAAGCCGATTTGATAACAACTTTCAAGAGAGAGGTAGATAGGTATATGGGGAGGACAACCTTCCAGGACTATGGGGAAAGCGCGGGGAAGTGGGATTCATTTGGACAGCTCTTTGAAAGAACAGGCACGGACACGATGGGCCGAATGGCCTCCTTCTGTGATGTATAATTCTATGATTCTGTAGTGAGGGCTACAACCCTCACTTGTTGGAAGTCAAATGACCAACTAGTAACCTGGGTGGGAGGGGGGGGGGAAGTGGTTGGTCTGTAGACTTAATCCAAAAATCTCTTTCCTTGTGGTATCTCTCCCATCCTTAAAAAAAACTCCCTCGTTGACCATCCAACATTATCAACCATCACTTCCTCTCATCCACATTGTCCTTGTAAAGCACTTTTAACAAGACTTTATCTTATGGGAAAGGCACTATACAAGTCCAGCTTTATGTTTGGTTAAATGTCTTTACGTGTATGTATCCCTGTGGCCTCTGCACTCTTGTCTGAAACCAGGTTGCCAATTGTAACTGATTTAACTTTGATTTAACAAGTCACACATGTGTGGAGGTAACCTAATTGTTTGCCCGGTATAAACTCAATTCACGACTGTTTGTGAGCGCAACTGTCTGCCACGTTTCCCCCACATAATAGTCACTACACTTTAGTGTATCCTGTGAAGCGCTTTGAGACGTCTCACTTGAAGACGTGATAAGGCGCTATATCAAATGCAAGGATTATTATTATATCATAAACTGTATCCCGATACCTTTGGTTCATCGCTATCCCAAAGAAGCTCTTGTTCAGCTTCATTCATTTCCTCGGTGGGGTCGTAAGTATAGACAGGTAGCAGTTGATGTCTTAGTTTGTCAAGCCTGCGGGAAAGAGAGTGGAAAGAACACACTATTAATCCTCGAAGATTGAACGTTTAGTTAAGATTCTAGCAAACTCAAATGCAATAACAAGTCAGAATAAAACATCTTCTGGTCTCTGGCAAGATATACATAACGTTAAAAACTATCCTGGGACTTCCTGAAATGGAGCTAATCTTTCTCCCATTTCCTGTGGAAGCTTTCAGATGTAACTGAGATACATATTGTGCGCTGCCTCATACAAATGCAGATCTATTGAACAGGAAATGGCTTTACATCATGGTAAGTTTTAATGATCTTCCAATGCATTAAACTGCGTGCATGCATTCTTTTCCCTTCTTCATTTTGGTTCCAAAACTCCACAGGCAGCAAACTAACGATTGTTTTCCGTGTGACTTCGATACTGACAGATGCTTTATTTTATTTTCATACTCCAAGGTTTAACAGCAGGAAGCTTACATAATCCCAGCACAATGATGGATACAAGTGACTGAAAATGATTCACATGGTACCTACAATTAATACTTTTAAATCATTTAAACTGCATGAGCACTGTGCTGTTGCTGCTTGAAATGCTCTCCCTGCCACATAAACGTCCTGTACGTATAATCTGTCGGGCAGACTATCCTGCAATAAGAGCTTATCAGGAAAAAATTCCACCCAGCCTAGATTTCATATATTAATTTAGCCGTTTAATGACAAATTACAGTCGCTACACTTTACAGAACAATACTGTGAGGTGCTTCTCTTTTTAAATAGTGCCTTGGGATCTTTAATGCCCACTTAAACACACAGACGGAACATTGGTTGAACATTTTGTTTGAAGCATGGCACTTCTGAACCTTGGGACGTCCTCCTGACGTGAAAGGCTCTGGCCAAACCTAATTTGTATTGTGTTTGTATTCTTGGCTCGGAGCGAAAGTGCTACCAACTGAATGAACGGCATTTTGCATTAAGCGCAGTATTGCTAAATTTAGCAATACATTGATGTGGTAGGTGGTATCAAATAGACATCAGTTCCTGTGAACAAAGCCACGATTTTAAACAAACTGCTAGGAAATCACAGGTGGTTCGAGGAAAAGGTCCACAACATGTGCAAAGTATGTCTACGACTGTGCTGCATGTTGTTTAATTGATTGTTTTCTATATCTTTGAGCTGTTATTAAACTTGAACCAAAGCAGATGCCTTTTCCAGACTTGTGTGTGATATCCTAAACTATAAGGTACTTGTGCATTAACCCTACGTTTCCCCACAGGATAGATACCACACTTTCGCACCGTCTCAGCATGACAGTAGTTACCTGCGTCTCCTCTGAATATACATGACCTAAATAAAAAGCAGAAAAACATAATTATTCAGCTAATACAGGAAATTTGCATGAGGCATTTCTAAATCAATCACTATAATGAGAAGTGAATAGGATTAGAGAAATTGACAGCGCAGAAGGAGGCCATTCAGCTCAGAATACGACAGCTCTCAGAGTAAGCATTCAATCTCACTGCCCTGTCCCCAATACCCCATCAAGTTTTTATCTTCAATGTATCTCTCTATTTTGCTCATGAAACTCACAATGGACTGTTTCTTCTTCTGTCACCTCACTCGCAGAGCATCCCACCTCCCAACAACTCCTTGTGCCTTTGTAATCAATATCAGTTCACTTTACAGTATATTATGTGAAGCGGTTTGAGACAGCAACAGCAAATTACACTTGTATAGCGCCCTTCACGTAGGAAAGATGTCCCAGAGCCATCTAAGAGACATGATAAGGCGCTAAATCAAATGCAAGAATTATTATTATATTATCATAATCAGCAAAGCATTAGACATTGGCTTACAATTTACAACTGAAACAAAAAAATAAACTGCAGTGGCCGTTAGGTTCAGCAATAGCAGAACGAAGAGAAGTCTTCTGGCCAAACAACAAAGGATTCTTAAGTCTAGTCAATCATAGTCCTGACTGCCAGGGAGGTAGCAAGCAATCGCTGTGAAGATCCAATGCTCTAGATCTCACAGCATTACCACTGGCCAGAATTACTAGGACCTCAGTAAAATCCCAAAGAGATCCATCCACCCATTCAATCTATGCAGTTAATTAAAGAGAAACAACGTTTAAAAGGACACTGTCCCTTCGAAGGATACATGATGGCTTAGATTGCCTCAAGGCCTGGATTTCCTGAACTTTTTACATCAACAAAGGATTCAATAAAAAGTAATACGAGTTTTTGCCAAACAAACACAGAGCAAGAGTGAAATCGAGCTTAAAACATTCACATTGAGTCACAAGATCATCACATTGACTGTGCAATTCCTCACAAAGGAAATGATGCAAAAATCTTCACCTCTAAAGCCCTCTATGAGATTTTTTTCCTTCTCCTCCTCTATTGTCTCCACACGATGTGTGTCCAGTTGTTTGGTTCTTTGGAAACGATTTGCTCTCTGGTAACTCACTAAAATCCAACATGGCCATTGTTCCCCTGGGAGTCTAACAACTGTGTCATTACCTTGCATCCGCTATCCGGAAGAAATAATGATAATAATAATTCTTGAATTTGATACAGTGCCTTATCATGTCTTCGAGACGTCTCAAAGCGCTTCACAGAATATACTGTAAACGTGAATTGACTGTTTTTGTGGGAGAAATGCGGCAGCCAATTGCGCACAGCAGTGTTCCACAAACAGTCATTAGTTTGAATGACCAATTTATTATTTTTTGAAGGAAAAGCGATCTGCCAATCGACTAGCAACCGGTTTCCTACTTACCGCTAGGTAAACAGAGGTGTGTGGAGTGAGGAAACTTGCCCACTTGCTCTGCTGGGAATTGAACCCAGGTCTCTCGCTTGCGAGGCGAGCGCTCTGACCATTCAGCTACAGGACCCAGGACTTAAATGAAGCAAATATCTCAGTGCCACCCTCTGTGGCATTTTGATTTGTTTTCTTCATTAAAACAGCTTCTGAAACACATTGAATTTCCTTCCCTGCTCTCCCTCTTGCTCTCAGATGTCTCTCTGTCCTCCTTAATGAAAAGATCGCGAATGTCCTGCCTCGTCATATTTTTCGAGTGCCTGACCGATTTCTTTCTTTTCTTCAGGAAATAGATTAAGCCTTTATGGCAATGCCTTATTGCACCAAAACATCTTAAAGTGACTCACGAGTAACTTTTGTCTTGTGTGATGAATGTTTTTCTAAGTAGACTGACTGGTTTACCTGCATTAAATTTCCACAGTACAAATTCCTTACACTGGTGTGGCACACATCAAAATGTACAAGCAATCAAACCTTCCTTAAAGGAATCATTTTGGTATTTCTAGACTTTGTTTTGGACTCTAAACTAAGACGCCTTCTTCTTGCTGATTTTCTCTACATATCTGACCTCTCGTACACAGTAGTGTTCGATGTGTCAACATTAAACCGCTTGAATTTCAAGAAAATTAAGTTATTCTGCAAAAGGTAAGCATTCACTGCCTATCACTTTCTGTTATTTATCCCAAACCGCCATACACTACAGTTCTGTACTCACAAGACTCATCCCCTGGAGGTCCTTTAACATTCAGTCCATACTGCACAAATCATAAAACTATGCTTTACCATTGCAACAGTAAATCCGATCATTGTCAGTAGGAAAAAAGGCACTAGGACAAATCCCGCAACTTCATTACTTTCATCAGCTGGAGACACCGTCGTCGAATTTGTCATCGCCTAACTTCTCCTGGACTGAAAAATGCAGAAAAACGATTTGTCTTCATTCACAAGATTTTGAAAGAGAATTCTGCTTTGCTGGAATAGCTGACTGCAGCTATATTTAGCAGCCAGTTCATGTGATGCTTCAGAATGCAGAAAGCCAAGTCCTTCTACTTAATCATCATTTCTCTGCCTGGAGCCTTGTCACCTTCAGTGCTATGACCACAGCACCTAGAATGGACCAAAGAAATTATTAAAGATAACAGGCTAATTATAATAGGAAATTCCTGTCAAAAGAGAACAGGGAGAGAGGTGAACACATGACATCCAACAGATTCACCTAGTGCTCAGTGCATTAGGCTTTGACCGTGCTTACAGTAACCTTCCTCTCTCCCACCGGCTTGGCATCAGGCTCCATCACCTGTAAATGTTCCGAGACGCTATCCTGCTTGAAGGCCGCTATATAAATGCCAGTTGTTGTTTCACTAAAACAACTACAGTACAACAGTCAAAACAGGTAAATAATAAATGTTTCCAATTCAAACTCCTTGTTCAACTACAGATTTTCTTTTTCTTTTCCATAAATAATTATAATAATACTACTAATAATCCTTGAATTGATACAACGCCTTATCCCGTAGAAACGTCTCAAAGCATTTTACAGAATTCTTCCATAAAGTTTGTGACTATATATTTGGTGGGCGAACATGGCAGCCAATTTTGCATAAGCAACATCCCAGAAACAGACATAAATTGAATGGTCATTTGTTTTTTTTTCTGTTGGTCAGGAAACCGGGAGAAATTTCCTTCTCTTTTCAAATAGTGCCATGGGATCATTAAGGTCCACCTAAGCAGGCAGATGGAACCTCGGTTTAAATCTCATCCAAAGGATACCCTGGAAGTTTTATATCAAATTGTGCGGGGTTGTGGAATAGTGATGCAGCCAGCAAAAATACAGGAGAAATTACAAGAGGCAGAGCTGGACAGAAAAATCCAATTGGACTATTTAGTGAAACTCTGAGTAAAGCTAGTAAAACTTAACTTTAACTATCACTCCCCAGCCGTATAGCAGGGATTATACACATCTGAATAATTTTGCAAGTGAACTTAACTGCACAAGTTATGCAGTTAATCGCCTCAGTGCAAAACATGTGTATTTAAAATTCTCTTTGTCAGACAGTACATTGTGATGACTGGAATCTTTGCCTCAGTCCACTGATTCGAGCACTTTAACAGCACTGTAACGCTGAAGTCACAAGATCATATGATAAAAAGAGCCCTTTAGCTGAATTGACCTCATCCTTGCAGAACACTAACCCTATTGTCATCCCATTACAGCCTCTAGCTGCTTCTTAAATGAGTCCAGTGTCTCGGTCTGAAGACACAGAGTGACTGTTAAGGATCCCACTTTTCGTGAAAAACAAATCGATTTTTTTCTGTCTAATCCAGTTTCCACCGAGACCAATTATAGCATCTCAATTGCATTCGGACCAGTTTCCTTACTCCACACGCCTCTGTTTACCTAGCAGTAAATAGGAACCCAGTTGTTAGTCGACTGGCAGATAGCTTTTCCGGGGGTAATAATTCCTTAAAAAATATAATAATAATATGGTCACTCAATCCACTACTGTTTGTGGGACGCTGCTGTGCTCAATTGGCTGCGTGTTTCACCCACAAAACATACAGTCAATTCACTTTACAGTATATTCTGTGAAGCGCTCTGAGAAGTCTAGAAGATATGAGAACGCACTATATCAAATGCAAGGATTATTATTATATTCCCAGCCTAGTCTGCCAGATTCTCAGGAAGTGCATAGTTATTTTTATTTGGAAAAAAAATTGTGTAAATATGCCATTTGTTTTAGGGGGACGGGGGCTTTGTTTGCTGTTCTAGAAAGGTATCTAATTCATTGACGTACTGTGGGATTACTACAGTTCATGAGCTATATTGTTCTAAGTGAATAAAAACTCACTGGTGGAGAGGAACAATTTGCCTATTATCACATTACGGGTTTAACAATACAGGCTTTACCAGGTCATCTGGTTAGTGAGCCAGCCTTGGGGGCCACATTTGGAGGTAGTGAAGGAATTCTGCAGCTGCTGAATAATGTGGTCGTTAAAACCACTGCCTAAAAGTGAAAGCATATATTGGATTAGCTGCTTGTTAAAGACGTGCCAGTGCTATGATGGCCAATCCCCTATTTTGCGTGTATCCGCTCACTAAATTTTTTTAATGCGTCTTCAAAACCCATTCAGCAATGCATTCAGTCCAGACATCAGGGCTACAAGTCATTAATTACCTACAATGTACCTACTTAGAGGAATGATTCCATCTCCATATTAATGCCATAGAAACTCCACAATGCAATAGTTCCTCCATCTTGTTCAACAAGATAAGAACATTTAATAATAATAAAAATGCTTACATTTGATACAGTGCCTTTCATAAGAACATAAGAAATAAGAGCAGTAGGCCATTTGGCCCCTCGAGCCTGCCCCGCCATTTAATAAGATCATGGCTGATCTTCTAACCTAATTCCATTTACCCGCCCTATCCCCATATTCCTTAATCCCTTCAGTTTTTATTTAAAAATATATCGATCTCAGTCTTGAATATGGTCAATGGCTGAGCATCCACAGCCTTCTGGGGTAGAGAATTCTATAAATTCACTTCGCTCTGAGTGAAGAAATGTTTTCTCAACTCATTTCTAAACGGATTACATTTTCACATCGGGAGAGCGTCTCCAAAGCACTTCACAGGATTTACTGTGAAACGTAGTGATTGTTTTTGTAGTCTTCATTCCATGGTACTATTCAAAAAGAGTACTTACCTCGCAAGCAAGAGGACCCGGGTTTGATTCCCGGGCAGGGCGAAACCTTAGGCGAGTTTCCTTACTCGACACACTTCTGTTTACCTATCAGTAAGTAGGAACCCGGTTGTTAGTCGATTAGCGGATTGATTTCTGGACATAATAAGCCCTTAAAAATTTTTTAAAAAAATTTGGTCACTTTAATGCACAACTGTTTATGAGTCACTGCTGTGTGCAATTGGCTGCAGCGTTTCACCCACAAAATACTGTCAATTCACTTTATAATATATTTTGTGAGGCTGTTTGGGACATCTCAACGACATGATAAGGCGTTATATCAAATGCTAAGGAATATTATTACCCACCGGAACAGCCAGAGAGGTTTAAGACACAAATAATATTTAAACCACATTTAAAAAATTAGCATCACAGCATTTGGTGCCCCTGCTGAATGCCACAACTAAAAACAAAACAGATCTAATTTGCTCAGGATAAAAGAATAAAGCCAGGAACAACTCCTAATCCTAACAGGAGTTTCCTGTTGACTGTGGAACAAAATTGAGGTTAACACTGCAACTGCTCCCCTACCCCACTGATGTTGCCTTGAAGCAATAGTCACCACAGTGGGGCTATCCCATTGATTGAGTGGTGATTAAAAGCAAAGCAAAAGGAAACCCAGTTCACTGCAGATTAAACCTATAAAGGTCTGTGCTTGCAAAACAGGGCCTGTTGATACCAAGCGACAAGGGTAATGCTGTGCTGGTAAATCTCAGGTACTGTCTGCTGTTTCCCAAAGCCCCAAAAAGCAACAGGTGAGCAAAAGTAGTTAAGCTGCAATTTGCATCCAGGAAGTGACTGTCAACCACACTGATCTACCTCCATTTGTGACAATGCATCTGCCCCAGCTTTAGCAAATACACTCTCTCCCTCTCCAAGTGCATTAGCTGTCCTCTTGCTCCATCCCTCTATTCCCCCCACCCACCCACCTCCCAGTGTTGAGCAACCCTCCCAAACCTCACCTGTTCTGCAGAACTTCACCTGGTTATTTGAGAAGTGGCCACACACAGAGCGAGAGAGAAAAAGGCCAAGGCAAGGCAAGCTCCTCAACCCACACACTGAGAAAATGCGGAACTGGTGACTGATAACAGCTGCAGGCTCAGCTGCAGCAGAGGGAGACATAGAGCTTCACATCACTCAGACAATTCACAGTGTAATGAACCACCAACCATGGTTCCAGGCAGCGGCTGTCAATACACAGGAAACATCAGCACCCAGAATTGTGCACCAGATTCATCGTCAAGTGTACAGTGTTTCCAAAACCAAATCCCAATCCAGCTGTGCTGGGTGTTAAAGAGGATCAATCGACCACATTTTGAAACAGGAGAATGAATTAGTTCATCCTTTTGTCAAGTCAGAAAATCTCTTTGAACCAACCCCTCATCTTTTTATTAAACATATTCTTCTGGTCCTACAATATTTTTGGTTTCAGCAACTCCCACCCCCAAATATATATATTTTTATTTTAATAGTAATTTTTGTCAATGTAATGAACTTCGCCAGTTACGGTTGCTGCAATTATTTCAGCCTCTAATGATTTGCACCGCCCAGCAGTTTGTTAATGTGCAGTCACAGTCAATTGACCTGAGGCTCAATGATGGAAAGCCAATTCATTTTCTCTTGGTTCTCTGTGTCAGCAACTGCCCCAAACCATTCACATGACAAGCAATATGCAAAGAGCACAGTATACACACAGTGTGATTCAACAACAACAACCAAATTACATTTGTAAAGTTCCTTTCACGTCGGGGAGGACATCCCAAGGCGCTGAACAGGGATCAGGACCCAAGCCTGGGATTGGGGGGGCAGGGTTGGGATGAGGGAGGGCAGAGGGGGTAGGAGGGCGGCTGAAGGCACAGTCAAAAAGGAGGGTCTTGAGTCGTGCCTTTGAAGGAGGCAAGAGAGGGAGCAAGACAAAGCGATTGTGGGATGGAGTTCTAAAGGGTGGGGACAGAGAGCCTGAAAGCCCGGCCGCAGTCAGTAGGTTGGGTCGGGCGGGAGACCTGGAGCAGGCCAGAGCCTGCTGAGCGGAGGAGCGGATGGGTTGATAGGGGCTCAGCAGGTCAGAGATGTAGGAGGGGACAAGGCTGTGGAGGGCCTTGAAAGTGAGGATGAGGATTTTGAATTCTATCCTCTGAGGGATGGGGAGCCAGTGGAGCCAGGCGAGGGTGGGGGTGATGGGGTCACGGAGCCTGGTGCGGGAGAGGACATGAGCTGCAGAGTTCTGGATAACCTGCAGCTTGTGGAAGGAAGAATTGGGGAGGCCAACAAGGAGAGAGTTTCCGTAGTCGAGCCTTGAGGTGACCAATGCGTGTATGAGGATTTTGGCAGACTGAGGGATGAGGCAGTGGTGGGAGGTGGGGGAAGGCAGAACGGCTCATGGCATGGATGTGGGGGAGAAAGGACAGTTGAGGGTCGAACAAGATGCCCAAATTCCTGACTGTCTTGGTGAGGTGGAGTGTGCATTCATGGATGCTGATGCTGCCAGTGCCTGAGGTGCGGAGGCGCTGACGGGAGTCAATCAGGAGAACCTCAGTCTTGCTGACATTCAAGTGTAGAAAGTTGGCTCTCATCCAGGACTTGATATCAGACTGACAGTCCGTCAGGATGTCAGTTGTCCTGAAATTGAGGGTGGAGGTAGAGTTGGGTGTCATCCGTGCACATATGGAAGTTGACCCCATGTCTGTGGATGATGTCATCAGGGGGAGCATATAGAAGTTGAAGAGGAAGGAATCGAGGACAGAGCCCTGAGGAACACCACACAAGACTGGAAGAGAAACCGTTGACGGAGACAAATTGGAGACGGTGTGAGAGATAAGACCTGAACCATTCAAGGCCGGAACCTTGAAGGTTGAGGTGAAAGGAGAGCCCTAGGATTGAATATGATAACAGGCACGCTCACACAAGCGTTGACATGTCCATTCCCACTATCCACTCCCTTCGCTCAGCTCAGGGCTCGGGAGATGGTGTTGGGAGAGCATCAAGGGCTGAGAGGTTATGACTCCTACAAAAATTTCTGTTTATTTTTTTAAAAAAGTCAATACAAGACAGTTCTATTAGGCGCCACCAGGGAGTGCAATAAGAGCAGTCAGAGTAACTACTAATAGTAATAATCTTTGCATTTGACATAGCGCCTTATCACAGTTTCAAGACATCTCAAAGCGCTTCACAGAATATACTGTAAAGTGAATTGACTGTGTATTTTGTGGGTGAAACGCACAGCAATGTTTCACGTACAGTCCCGTGGATTGGGTGACCACATTTGTTTTCGGAGGAATTATTAACCCTGGAGAGGTCTGAAAGTGCTTCATAGGGTTTTACTGTAAAGCGTAGTGACTGTGAATGTGTAGACAAGCTACCTGTGGGGAAGAATATGGTCCCTGCGTGATGGTTATTTTACCATGCGGGCATCAAGATTGCTCCCCACCAATCTGGGTCTCCCTCTTCACCAACTTTGCCTCAGCGATGGGAGCCAAATCAGAGGGTGCAGCAAAAACAACTTACATTTATATAGCACCCTTCACGCGGGGTAGTGTCCCAGAGAGCTTTTACCTGCTGGATCAAGTGACCACATTTTTTTCGGAGTAATTATTACCCCTGGAGAGGTCTCAAAGTGCTTCGAAGGATTTTACTGTGAGAGGTAATGACTGTGAACGTGTAGACAAACTGCGTGTGGGGAAGAATTTGGTCTCTGCGTGAGGGTTATTTTACCATGTGGGCATCAAGTTTGCTCCCCGCCAATCTAGGTGGAGAACAAAATTGTAATGATCGTAATGTGCAGATGCAATTCCTGGACATAATTGAACGGAAGCCAGTCCAGATGGAATTTCTCTACCCCTTCCCGCTATATAATGCAGCTGCAATAAATGCCAGAGCATTACAAAACATATGGGATCCCGGAGTGAATGGCAGATCTGTGGTAATTAATCCCAGAGGGTAACAGCAGTGACAGTTCAGACTTGAGAGTCAGTAGTAAAGTAAGAGAATTACCCACAGGATCACAAATGTGATTCGTTTATTGTAAGGATACATCATTGATAATTTCAATGTTCTAGATATTCACTTTGAAATATAATTGTGCCCTAATGGCTGTAAGAAGATTATGTGGATACTTTCTTTTTATTAAAACACAGAATGTAACACAGTTGCACGTAAATTCACATAGACTCGATCTGCTCCATTATATAGTCCAAGAATGCTATTGTGATTCAATGCTCCAACACTTCCTGACTGGAATGTTCCTACTCTGTTATACAACATGTAAGTCATTTTAAACCTTCTTTCAAAGCGTCCAATTTGCAGTATTTAACAGGTTTCTCCAATAAAGATTTATGAGTCAATATAAACGAATGGGCACAAATAATTGATAGGTGAAACGAAAATGATCTAAACCTATAAATACAAAATAAAATGGCAGGAACAAAGCATTTCAACATCATTGTTGAGGCTGCAATGGAAACAAAGGGACAGTGCTTTACAAGTTTTAGTAAACCTGAAGGGGCAATTTATTTACCAGTATAATTTTAATACACTCTGGTTACTGCTTGTAGGCATTTCCTTACCCATTAGTAGTGATGAATAGTACGAGAAGGTCAGAGCTCGCGGTTTGCGCAGTTAAAGTTTACTACTGTGTGAAGAATTATAATGTGGTTTGTGATCAGAACCAGATTAATAAAACACTCCACACTGCATTAGAGTGACGTGGACCAGTGATATATAACATGGACACTAATGCTAATAGGGAGAATGGCAAACATTCTGATCGCCTGCATTCCTGTTTTGACAGGAGCAATTAACTTCCTGTCTCACACTCTGGTTTGTTTCTATTTTAATCTCTTCTGGTATCACAGTCTAGGCCGATACTCCATTGCAATGCTATTATAATAATAATATTAATAATAATCATAATCCTTGCATTTTATATAGCGCCTTACCACATGTCTCAAAGTGCTTCACAGAATATACTGTAAAGTGAATTGACTGTATATTTTGTGGGCGAAACACAGGGTATGCCCAGGATTGCATTACTTAGATTGTCAGAAGTGCTGTCCTTCAGATGAGGTAAACCAATGTCCAGTCTAGTGTTCATTGAAAAAAGATTGGAGTTTCTCCCGGTGTGACCTGGACAATAATCCCATGAATCTTGCTTCAAGGATCTTAAAGTCAACTCGCTCGGGAATGATTACAATTAATTTTTATCTAAAGCGCCTTTTGTGTCAGGAGGACATCTCAAATCCCTTCACACAACTGACTGTTATGGGGAGAGAGCCTTGGAAAAATGAAGGTGATTGTCTCATAGAGTCTGATACAACAACAATTATAACTTTGGTTTGGTATCTCATCGACTTAACAACAACGACTACAACAAATTACATTTGTTTGTCACCTTTCACGTCGGGAGGATGTCCCAAGGAGCTGGACCGTCAGGGATCCGCACCTGAGCTGGTGGTTGGGATCAGGAGGGGTGGAGGGTAGAGGTGGGAAGGTGGGCGAAGGCACAATCGAAAAGGAGCATTTTGATACGGGTATTGAAGGAGGTGACTCTCTGGGCTCCCAGAGAGAATAGATTATAGACAGTTTGGAGCTCACAGAGAGAATGGTGCCATAGACAGGGTGAGTTTGCTGCAACGTGAAGGATTGAAGAACAGTTGCAGTTTCGTAGGCTGGAAATGGATTAAAACACGGCGTATTTTGCAACCGACTGTCGCATTTGTGAATGAAACGCTTTGCGAGCATGTTGGCAAAATAAAAACAAACAAATAAAATCAATAAAATGAATGATTAAACAGACCAAGTCACCGATGTTTTGAGGGTTTAAAAAAAACACGCTACGAATTGATCCTCTGTCACATGGTACGAGAGCGGTTCAAGTAAGAGTTCAAAGAACTTGGCTTCCCAGCTCAGCATCTTCCTTTAAAAATGCACGAGCGTGTGTAGTTTCAACGGCCCCTACAGCCTGATCAGCACACTGTATTATTCATCGCAGCAACCAACACCACCCGCCCCCCACTCCCATTCCCATCAGCGGAGAGAGAAACAGAACAAAAAATAAGCA